TGCCTGTGTAGCGCTTTTCTTCAGTAGATCTCAAAGCAGTTCACAATCTTTTAATGTATTTATCTTCACAACACCCCTGTGAGGTAGGGAACTGCTATTAACCCCATGTTACACATGGGGAACTGAGGCACAGAGAAGCTAAGTGACTTGCCCAAGATCACACAGGAAGTTTGTGGCAGAGCAGGGAAATGAACCCAGGACTCTCAAGTCCTCTGCTTGTTCCCTCTTCCTCTCATAACTACTGTTACTTTCTTTTATGTTGTGCTTCAGAACTGAACAGGAACTAGAGACTGGGATTCTACCACAGTTTTGTTGGTTTTTTTTAAAATGTAAAGCAAATATAAGTGTTACCCCGGTGATGACCACCTTATTATCCCATAGGGAAGGGAACAGGATGGGATAACGGCTCCTTGTTAGCTAAGCAGCCCAAGATACAGGTAAAAGCTGTTCAGACTTGATATTGATGATTTTGCTTTTAGTTGCTCTGGATCCGCACAGGCAACACGGTTGCGGAGCTCCAGTGACACAGGAATAATGTCTTCCTCTTTTTTTAATGATTTTATCACCTGCAAAGGGGTGCCTAGATGTGCCAGGGCTCTCCACACATAGTTTAAGGCCCCACTCCAAAGAACTCCTAAAGAAAACAAGAGAATAAAAATGTAGGAGAGGGATAAGAGATGCAATGGATGTTCCCTCCAACCCCATATTTATCAAATTATCACCAGCTGGCTCTTGTCCTGGCTGCTATTAGTTGGCAATTTTTTGTGGGCATCATGGTATAGCAAGGCTTGGGGAGAAGAGGTTAGTGGCCTTATGGACTGGCATGAAGGACAGTGTTCAAGGAAGTATGAATATGGTATGGCAGTCATGATCAGAGTTTGCAAATGTCCAGCAATGCTCATTTTTGTCCTAGTTATAGAAGTGCAATGGCACCAACAGCAGAGTGTGACGAGACAGCAGTGTAACATTAAGGATATTTACATAAATTGGGAATAACAAGAAACAGTCGAAAGTGACAGTGTTGAAGCTGTTCTCTTAAACTAGTCTAAGACCTGACAATTTCTGGGTGTTGCCCGCACAGAAACAATTGATGTCAAGACTTAAGCCCTTCACTTATATGGTTTAAGAAAGGGACTTCCCTAAATCACAGTTTACACTGACACTTGAACCTTATTTAAAATATTTTGTTTTGATCATGCTACATTATTCTGCAAACATTAGGCATGAAAACACCCATATGAGAACTAAATGATCCTCATTTCACAACTGGGTAACCTGAGGCACAGATTATCTTATCTAATGTCACAGTGGATCATTGGCAGAGCAGGCGTTCAGTCACCTCATCCTGTGCTACAACCAGTAGATAGTTCTTTCTTGCTCTGTGGAACCATTTCTCCTGATTAATAGCATCCATTACCAACCATGATCACCCAGAATGCTTATGGGGTTGGATGTATGTTCCAGGCATATTCTAATGTCCTCTTTATCTGTAGGAATATGTTGCAGAAGAATTGAGAAGTGAAGGGGGTTAATCAGATTTATAAATTTCTAATTCACTCCTACTCTCTCTGCAGAGGTGTTTCATTTTTTTCCATCATGAATTCATTTGTCAGTAGTTGACAGGCAGGGGGGATACAGATAACTACAGAAAATTGCATCTCAGAGCACAGAACAGAAACACTGCAAACGCAAACGTAAGTGGTGATATTTCCTCCGTAGTGAAAGTTATGACAAGAAAACCACTTTCCACTTCACAATAATCATTGAAGCATTTTGATTAGAAGCTGAAGGGGGCCAGCCATTTTTCAGTTATTACTTCTGGCTCAACAAGAGTTATTGCTTACCTTGGTAACTAAAGGGAGAGCCAGAAGCCAATTCTTAATTAAGCTGATTTTGAATAGACCAGAAGCGCACCATTTGGTCTTCATGTCAGATGTGCAGAGTGCCGGCCATTGGGTTATAGTTATTCTCTTCTCAGCCACTCGGAAAGCAATGATTTGATAGCAGGACGTATAAAATGATTTGATAGCAGGACATATGAATGGGTGAATGATCCATTCTCAGAGGTGACTTACATTTATTCAAATATTTGCCATGTATTACAAAAAATTTGCTGCAATAGTCATCAGAATCCATTTAATATTTTAGGTCCTCAAATGTCAAAATAGATAGTATCTGTGCAAGGCATTCTTACAGAAAATGTGATTTATATATTATGTGACCATTTCCCTCTGGGAAGGAAATGAAGAGTGAACATAAACTGCTTAGGATGTGTTTACTCCTGCCTGCCTTTTTGAGTTTCAATTATCTCCATTTAGAAAGCTGCAAGGAGGCTGAACGGAGAAGTTCCAGGAGTGTCTCAGATTGAATTTAATTACTCTGACCATCTTAACTGTTTTCTGATCACAGGGAAGAGAAATACAAGGCAAGCGGTGCAGATGCCTTCTGAGTAGTGGGATTTAATGCTATTAGGAACAAAGGGAAATGTATTTACAAATTGGATCCGTTGTAGCCCACGAAAGCTTATGCTCTAATAAATTTGTTAGTCTCTAAGGTGCCACAAGTATTCCTGTTCTTTTTTTAAATATGATAGTGAAAAGATAAAATCCTTATCCTGTCCAGATCAGAAAATCCATGCAGATGTTTTTCTGAACTGTTATTCGGTAGCTGTAGAGATGGATTTTAAGCTATACAGGACCTGAATCAACCTGAATTTTGAGGTTCCCCCAGCTAGGAGTGGGAGCAAGGTAAGAGTCCTGAGACATAGAACATAGAAATGTAAGGCTGGAAGGGACCTTGAGAAGCCGTCTAGTCCAGCCATCTGCACTGAGCCAGGACCAAGTAAACCTAGTCTGTAGGAATTACCTATGCACTCTGATGCCAAACTGGGCCCCAATTGTGAAGTTTCTGCTTTGTTTGCCCATGGTTGGATCACAGATCTAATCTAAAGTAGCTTCCCCCCCACCTAGTTTGATTATCCTCAAACAAATTACATCCTAAGTACCATCTATTCAATCCCCACTGATCCTTATTCCTGGCCTGGCTGTTTACTTTCTGCAAATAATCTCTAAAGAAATTCAATGAAACATTAATTTAGTAAAGAGGAAAATGTGTGATGACCGCAAATAGGCTCACAGTTTTGCTGATTTTCTGGTGAACAATATTTTTCCCTGTTTGCTAGACTATTTCTAATTTCACTTTCATAATAGATCTATCATTTTTTAAGAAGGAAAAGGTGGAGACTTATTGGTACAATAGATAGGCTTGCATCCTGCATAAATACACACGGTAGGGGGACAACTTGCAACTAACACTTTAATCTAATTAGGCAGAACAGTTCTGTTAAAATACTACATAATCTTTAGTCTAATAATGTTTTCATTGGTTTTCAGTATTTATTATGCTGCTATATTGCTCAGCACTGTACAAAATGCAGAAAACATTGTCCCCTCTCATGGAGCTTGTTAAAACACAATGAAAGGCCTGATTGTCTGACTCAGTTTGAATAGCACCTTATTCTGCAAAGAGTCCTGGTGAGGTAAGGTACTATTCAAGGGGCGTAAGGGCAGTAGAATGTGATCCTATGCAATGGAATATTGACAGCTTCAATAATTAAGTCAACATGTTACATAATTTTGTATTCCTACTATATTTATAGGCATTCAGCAGTAAATCAAACCAATAAACAGCCTGTTTGTTTTGGAAAACTGGATTTTCTTTGGACAACCTGGGTTCAATTGAAATGCAATCTTCACTATTAGGAAAAATATCTGGTTGTGAGGGCAGAGCAGAGCCTATGGGCTAGGTTATATCATTTGAACTGAAAAGTGATGGTAGATTTGATGACATTAGTATTAAATCACCTGAAAATAAAGCCAAAGTATTTAGAACTTGAGCAACTCCTTTAAGAAAGTTATTGGACAAAAATCAGAATTCCTACAACATTTATGTAACTTCCCAACTCAGGCTACCCTTTCTTCAGCATTGCTAATGGTAGGTAGCCTTAGAATGCCTCTGGTAGAGATGCAAAACAAGTTTTAGGTATGTTTTAGTCAGTATTGAAGAGCAAATGGACTCTAAAACAGCTGACTCGTAGCCTAAGCAGGGCCAATGCTAAATCCCAATATGTAAGGATACTAAAAAATTCCCACAATTATATTAGCACCAGTGGGAAATTTTTAGAAAGTGTCTTAAGACCCTTGGATTCATGCTAAACAAGAGGGGTTAAAGGAGCTCGAGGAGGAGGAAGAAGTGACTTCTCTCTGACAATTCCACAAATTAGTGAATTTTGTGGGTACCAGCTAACTTAACACAGAATGTCACTGAATATGTATGTGATTTTCAGTCTCGTTTGCGGAAGGTTTGAGAGAAGCCAAAGCCAGATCGTCTAATTGACACAATGACCTGCTGTCTACAATCGTACATAAAACAAGCATTATTCTCAACCCCTCTGCCTGTGACAGTCACAAATAATCCCTTTGAAACTACACCAGTCAGGCCAAATATAGCTCTTATCAGCTGGGCCACTTGTGCCACAGTGGGACACAAGCCATGCAGCAGGGAAGGGGGGAGGGCAGGGAGGAGAGAGGCCCATGGGGGGCTGGAGCGGAGGTGGAGGGCTGTTCAAGGGGAAGTGTGTTGGGGGTAGAGGAGGGTAGTGGAGGGCTGGGGGGGCAGAGGAGCCCTAGGGCAGTGGGGTGTGAGGGACTGGGGGGTGGCGCAGCAGCCCTATGGGTGGGATTTGAGGAACTGGGGGAGGGGTGGCGCAGCAGCCCTGGGGGTGCAGAGGTGAGGGCTGAGGAGCCCGCTGAGGCGGTGGGGAGGCGACGTGAGGGCCGCGGTCGGGCACAGACGCTGTGGGGCCGGGGGCGGGCTGCGGGAGCGGGTAAGGTGGGGCGGGCGGGCGGGTGGGCTGGCTGGCCCGGGGGGTGGGCGGGCCCCGGGCGGGGCTGCCTTATATGGGCCGGTGTGGCGGCCGCCCGGGAGAGCGGGGCCGGGCGCAGCAGGATTCCCGCCGCCCCGTGGGGCATGCGGAGAGCGGCCGGGAGGGACATGAGCCCGCCGGGCACCGCAGCCCAGCGCCAGCGGCGCCTCCGGCGGCTGCTCCTGCTGCTGTTGCTCCAGGCCGGCCGCCCTGCGCAGGGGCAGCGGGGTAAGTGGGGCGGGGAGGGGGTTCCCGGTACCTAGCCCTGTGGGGCTCCTCTATACACACCCACTCTCCTGTACCTACCCCCTGTGGGGCTCCTCCATGCACACCCACTGTCTTGTGCCTACCCCCTATGGGGCTCCCCTATGCACACCTACCCTTCCTTATACCCATGTCCTCTTGTCCCCTCTATACTTCCCCCCCCCCCGAACTCTCCAATGCACACCCACCTCTCTTATACCTACCCTTTTGGGATCTTCTGTACACACCCACTCCTCCTATACTTATCCCTACCGGGGTCTCCTGAACATTCCTACCCCTTCATATGTATCCTATAGATTCTTCCCTCAATATACACACTCTTCCAGTCCCTCTTATATATACCTTCTACTCAAACATAGACACTTTCCCGTCAATAAAAATCTTCCCACACACCCTATACGTAGCCCCAACTCAACCCTATAGAAACCTCATTGATACACCACCTCCCTTGATATACAACCTCATACACATCTCTATTCAGTCGTGTGTTGTCCCCCCCGGTTGTCGTATACATGTTCCATATATATATGCTCCACATGGATGCTTGTTATTCATGCTCCTCATAAACCAAACAACTATACACTTGTATACACACCGCATGGCTAGGTTTAATTTGCATAATACTCTATATGGTCATGGTAACTTATACAAATGTTGGCAAAGTATAAAAGAGACTCTCCCTCCTGTATTTGTCAGGCATTCTTTTCTGGCAGTGTCTCCTTTACACAAAATTGTGGTAATAAGAAATAAAACTACTTCCAAACTTTTGATCACGACTCTTAACTATAATTACTCCTCCGCCCCCAGAGCATTTCTAATGTGAACATTGCTTGTTCAACTTGCTGTGGTTATTTGTGAGAGTTTAAGTGGTGGAGAGGATGAGGTCCGATAATAGAACCCCCTCCAAGCTAGTGAAGATACAGGCTGGTGGTATTGTAATAACAATATTCAGCTGCTGTCTTCAACCATAGATCTTAATGCACTTAGCCCCTTACTTGGGTAATAGACAACAGTCATCATCAGGGTAAGAGTAATTCTGTTTTTGTACCAAAATATTTTTGCAGTATCAGGCAAAACTTCATTTCAGTTACTTATTTAAAAAAAAACATAATTCCCTTTTAATTATTTTTTGGGGAGAGGGAGTGGGATGAAGGAACTTCTGAAATAGCTTAGCAATATTTAAAAAAGACTGTATATTTATCTGGCTCTGCCTATATGTTACATAGGGTTATCAAAATAAATAACCCCCAAAGTTTGGCAGGGATATAAACCTTCACGCTTCATGGCCTAAGACAGCTTCTAGCCAAGGAAGTTAGGAAGAAATTCCTCCCCTACCCCCCCGCATGAAATAATTCTATAATTGCTCACTTTAGGGTTTCTTACACCTCTTTTTTTTGAAGCATCTGGTACTGGGCACTGCTGGAGACAGGATGCTAGATGAGATGGAGCGCTGCTTTGATCTAGTATGGCAGTACCTATTAATATTATCTCCCCACTTCCACAAAAAGCAGCAGGCAACAGTTTTCAGGTGGTTTCCCTACAAGTAAAAGGATGTTGTTTTTTAAAACAAAGTTACAGATATTTATTTAGGTTAAAGAGATGTAATTTTTCTCCTTCACTCCTTGTTTCCAAGTCATTTTCTTTCTGTTGGCTCCTTTAGTAGGACTTTAACTCTCAGCTGTGAAAGCATGTAGGTGACTTTCTGATTTGATGTTTATAATTTTGAATTGGTTGTGCTGCCACTACATACTTCTGATTCCATTGTCTTTTTCTTTGTTTTAGAAGAAAAATAATAGTTGTGTGCTAACATTTTTCTGTACTGAATTTTTTCCATTTGTAGCAAAGATGTTTTTGGTAACCACAGTTCCTTTTGGAACTTACTCCTGCATGAAGGACAGCTGAGGTTACTAGGATTCCTAAACAAAAATTTTTTGTTATTTGTATGAGCAATTTCTCAGCATTGACTGTAATACTAATACCAAGCTTTTAATGGAATGATCGTTCTACTGAAGATAAAACAAAAAAACCTGTGCTACACTGTTCACGTGATACAGACAGTTGAGAAATGTACAGTGGGGTGGCCAGATTTCCCCTTCCAGAAGAAAATGGTCTTAGATAAATTAACCTAGGGATATTTGAATTGGAGGAGTTGTGACATTGACAATAAAGTAAAGGATTTATTTCAAGACAATGAAAATCTACATAGAGGCTATCTGCTATGTGTAATCATGTATTACAGTATAGGGCCAAAATCAGGCCTGGTGTAAATATTCCTAATTCCATCGAGCATGTCCTTTCATCTGGTCTATACTTGGCCCATTTTTACATTTTTCAGGGTGTAGTGGCTGTTCCAGTTTTTCAGTTTGCCTGATCTATGACTTTTGCACAGACTGGACTCTGGGGTTTCAGTACAGACCGTTGAAAAGCCTCCGCGGTTTTTAAAGTGTGACGAGAGCTGTGTTACTGATTTCCATTACTTTAAAACCATGTTTCCAGTCCTTGTGAGGTTCTTCATGCCAGATAGTGAAGTACACCTCTTTTCAGAGGTGGACAATAAACGAACATCAGTAGATGTGTTTCAGTTTGTAATGTGTTTCATATCAGTACTTCCTTGATTTTTTTTTTAAATATATATAGTGAACTGTTTATGTTTAACCTTAAGACAGCTAATTATGTATGTTCATGAGAGGTGGTCTCCTAATGATGTTCAAATGTATTGTATTGATCTCATTGTGTTCCAGATCTTTATGGTCCTGATCTAGCTCCCGCTGAAGCCAATGGGAATCTTCTTATTGACTTCAGTAGGGACTGGATTAAGTTCTGTATCTAGCTTCTTTCAATGGAGGCTATTGACTAGATTGAAGTGGAAAGATGATTTTTTTTTTGAGAGAGAGAATATATGGATATTGTAAGGGGTGAGCAAGTGATAAAACTTTATTATCTGATACAGAGAATGAGAAAATAAGCAGTTTTATCTAATGTGACAGAAAACTGAGGAAAAAACTCCCTGTTTCTTATCAGCAGATTGAGATATTGTGGGTTAGTTTTTGCTATAGCTGTTCTAACTTAATTTAGTTTTCTAATGCACATTGGTTGCAAATGCACATTAATATGTTTTTGCTTCCCATGCTCATTTGGTTTAAAAAAAAAAAAACCTAAATAATTTATAAAGGCCGCATCTTAGAAGTAGGAATTTTGAGGTATTTCAAAAGAATTTAAAATGTTTTTGAAATGCTCTGAGTAAAAAATAAAACACTGCAGCTGAAGAGGCACTTTTTGTATAGCATGATATGGAGTGTAGAAAACACGTGAAAAACTGGTTACATTTTTCATCCGCCTTCCTCTTGAGGCTATCTTTATATGTTTAGAAACTGTACTCAGAAATACACAGAAAACTTAATAAGAGTTGTTATAATGTAATAACCTCGCGACCCCCTGAGGGGTCCCAACCCCCAGTTTGAGAACCTCTGCTGTAAGGGAATCAGTACTTGCTATGATCTGGGCCTTTCATGTAGTCAGTATAATCTGTTGCCTGTCAAAATGGCGCTAAGTGACCATTGAAGCACCGTAATGGAAAGCCCAGAAAGTTGGGAGGTACTGCCTAGATTAGAACACAACTAGAATTCAAAGGGGTTTGTCACAGTTGTGAGCAAAGATAATTCTTTTGAGCTCCCCAGCTAATCCTGGGCAGTAGGTTTTCATGACAGCATGTACAGGAGACTCAGTCAGATCCCAGTGTATATGGTGGATAATATTAAACTGAAGTGCCCTGGTATGAAGGTTCATCAAGTTATCATAGAAAATGTATTTTTAAAATTACCCATCTGCATATGATATAGTCATACTGAATCATTGTCAGAAAGACCCTTCAGACTTGTGTTGGGTTCTAGAGAGTTGTGTGATGCCCTAGAGGTATTAGAGGTCTCATGAAGAATCTTGCCTAATTGATTTAGTATAGAACAGACTGGATGGTTTTCAGGAGCTGTTTTACGTTTTTGCTTTACTGTAGTAAAGGAGCTTATGTCAGTCTGATGTTCAGGCAAGTCAAACTCATGCTGAAGCTGTATAAAAGTCTTCATTATGGTATTGTTCAAAACATCACGCAGAATACAAATGCCATGATTTAGCTTACCCTTGCAAAACTGAAATAGAAATTTACTAACCCTGGAAAAAATTACTCCTCTATTCTGTACCATGATGATAGTGGGGAAAAATAGTTTATTGACCTGTCAAAAGAAAATTACTTCTCCTGGGCAAGTAGCCCAGTAGAATTTTCGAATACTCACCACTTATACCAGACAGTATAAACAGTAATATTATGAGGTGCTTCTGTAATACACACAATACATAATAGATTAATAAAACACTCTGGATCTTCAGAAGAAGCTTAAGCCACCGTGCAGCTAGAGGGGTCTAAGAGAGACTATTTGGAGTATTTTTCTGAGTTCATATTTTCTCCCTATTTATGGTCAAAGTGGTGTCTGTGTGTTCAGGCAAATGAACTCCGCTAGCTAGGAGGTAGTGGACATGAGAAGCTTGCTTTAGTGGCACTATAGGTTTAGTAAACATCCAGTGGCAGACATTTACAAAACTTTTCTTAAATATTACATTTATCTCCAGACTTCTTTTCCTCATCCAGATCTGTTCCGCCCCCAACAATCTTCTATTCACTGAACTTTTTTGAAACTTTGCACTTTTAGAGAAAGGTAAGGGATTGACTCTGTGTACACAAATTTGCAGAGGGACAATAGGGTTGAGGTCTGTTATTTCTCACCTCTATATGTTATTTATTTATTTATTTATTTATTTAAAAACATTTTTTCTGTTAACAAGCATGTTATCTCTGGAGACACAAATCCACAGTTTGAAAACTGCAAAACTAAGCATCTCTGATGGTATCTTTTAGACTGAGCACTGAGTCCCATTGGGTAGATAGAAAGATTAACATGAATAATCTATACAGA